TGTCCAGATCAGATATTTTTCGACCCAAGCTTGTTGAGGAAGCTATTCTCTTCATATTAGAAGGTTAGAGCATATTTTGAAAAGGGAGAGAGAACTTAGGAGAGTTAGAACATTTTGAGAGCTTCTCTCACTAAAAAAATTTCCTCTCTCTCTAGAATTCTCAACTCTCTCTCTCTCTCTCTCTCTCTCTCTCTCTCTATCTCTAGACTTGAGCTTCCAAACCGTAGTTTTCATGGACCATTTGCACTACAACCCTTAGCACCACACCTCCTCCATCCATTCCAGCACTTTGGGACTGATTTTCAAGGGTTGAAGGTTCACCAACTTAGTCCAAAAGCTCCAGCTTTGCTGCTCTTCAAGGGTAAGTGCTTATTTCCCCTAAACTTGCATTTTTTTGCTTCATTGATTAGACCTACTTGAAAGTATTTCTGGGCTTCCACATAAACTGAAAAAGTTCTTATTTTAAGCCCCTCTTCAGCTTTGTTTAAGGACACTTTGCTATTTGATGTCATCTACTTTCCCTTACCCTCTATCTCTCTTTTAGGGCTATTTTTGCATCATATCTTAGTGCTACTTGTGAGCACTTTCGAGATTTACTATAAACTGTAAAGTGACTTATTTTGATCCCCTTTTCAACTTTGTTTAAGGGAACTTTACTGTTTGAAGTCATTTACTTCCTTGTTTGTTCAATCTCTCTTTTAGGGTTATTTTTGCATCCTATTTTAGCCTTACTTGTGAGCATTTTTGAGATTTTCTATAAAATGAAAAAAGTCTTTTTTTGACATCCTTTTCAAGTTTAGTTATGGTCCCATTTCAGTTTGGGGTCATCTCCCCCCTATGCATGCTTCATCTCATCGTGATTACGGCTATGCATTAGAGCACTTGCATTGGCCATGGTTTGGCCTCTTAGCCACTGAAATCTAGTGGATTTTTAGTGGCCTAGATGCATTTTTGAGGTCCAAAATTAGAGGGGGGTGACCCCCTCTCTCCTTGTCTTGTTTGGGGGTCTTTTGGGCCTTCCAAAGGGACCCTATTTTGCATGCATCAAAGTCTTGTTTCAGGCCTCATTCTGTGAGTTTTGGGGTCTGCCTTGGCTCTATCCATGGCCCTTTCGGCCATATTTTATACCTACAATGCATATGTAGAGCAATCCCATCCAAGGCTCTTCAAAGGAGCCTTTCTTTGCATGTTTCCTAGACTAATTTCAGGGCCTATTTGGTGAGTTTTAGGGCTGTCATAATCCATTTCTAGAGTTGGTTTTTCCATGCTAAGTGTCTATCTTGTATGTGCTTAACAACCCCTTGCAAGGCCCTCCAAAGAAGCCCCTCATTTTTGCATGCATTGGCAGCATTTCAGTGATTATTTGGGCATATTTTGGCATATTTTATTCACTGTTTTTGGCTGGTTTGATGAGATCTCATGCGCATCATATAGTTGTAATGCAACCCATACTTACTAGCCAATGTTGCATGCTATTTTAGTCCATCATTTTAGCATCTTTTGGTCATGATTTAAACTGAAAATGTGCATGTTTTGGGACTTCCTTGGCTCTGTCTTTAGACTTCATGATCAAATAATGCTTGCTTTGTATACTTGTGGTTCAATGCATTGGACTAGTTTTGAGTTTCGGGGCTTATTCCATGCATCAGGTGCCATATTTCCATGTTTTGGGACCATTTAGTGTTATTTTTCAGTGCTGAAAATTACATGTTCATAGGCCATCTTTCATCCCTCGCCATGCTTTGGTAGAGTGGCATTTGATGCCTTAGGTTCAGTCCTCGGTATGCGTGCATGTGTGCATGCATTTCGGTTGTCTCATTTTCATCTAATGGCTACTGATGTGAGTATGGCTGAGGTCCACTCATGTTGGTGTAAGTCCATTATCATTGTGTATGCCTTTTTAATTCATAGCATTGCCTATGCTAGGTTGCGTGTTAGTGCATTGTACATGCCATGTTACATCGAGCATTGTGTTTGCCATCTCATAGCATTACGTATGCTAGGTTGTATGTTAGTCGCATTGTGTATGCCATCTCATTTGCATTGTGTTTGGGATGGGAGTTAGCCCAAGCATGGGAAACGAGGGACGTTTCGTACTCCGAGTGACGGAACGTGTCTCAATTCCCTGTCGCCGACACTCCGGATTACCCATGATGGAGTTTAGGTCTTGTTGTGTTTTCATGTCCATTCATTTCATATTGAGTCATGCAATTCGACTCCTCGGCCATCATGCATCGATATGCGTGATTGGTGGCACGAGGATCGAAGACTACACTCCCTGAAGCGTTGTCATGCATACATATGTGAAATACTTTGCCATGCTCCTTTGTTGCTCTCTGTTGTAGTAAATCAGAAATCAGCGGCCTTCTGGAGCGTTGCGCAATATTCTGAAAACAATTGCAAACAGAGGCAAACCGAGGCATCGTAATGGATTTCTATGCAAGGCAACTCGAGCATACATCTCCCATCATTCGGAACAGAGCTGAGGCAGTCCATTGGCTTGCATGCTAGTTTATCGCTTTCCTAGATTAATTTGTTAATTAATTAGGGTTTTGTATTTATTCAGACTATACTATTTATTCGAATTGTATTTATTCAGACTGTATATTATTCTTTTGGACCCTCCGAACAAGGGCACAATTGTAATAAGTGTGCGTGTGTGTGATGTATGTCTTCCAACCCCACGTCTTTCTCCCTTTTATTTACCAGTTTATGATGGTTAGATTAGGGCATGTTTCAATTAGCATACAGTATGATAACATGTTTGCATTCATTCATCTGTCTTGCATGCACCGGGCTCGGCGCATCATACTAACTGCATTGTATTTCAATTCCGAGTTGAATACTTGTTAGTTATAGCATTTCATATGCCATCTTTAGAATAGACGAGCCTATCTTAGTTGCATTTCGCATGTGTTGCATTAGGCATTTCTGTATAGTTAGGATCATGCATAGATTTCTAACATAGCTTCTGTTTTGGCTTGGAGTACTCGATAAGTTTTATGCTTTAGCATCCTTGCATGCGTGTGAGTGACTGCCATGATAGCATGCTTACCATGAGGCTATTTGCTTATATGATATACCTGCCTGAATGCCTGTGGGTGAAGGTTGGGTTATTTGGATTGGAACAATTCATCAATTGTGAGTTTTAAGCCCACTAGATAGTGGCAAATCACCTTGTTTTCTAAGCCCACCCGAGGGCGGCAAATCCACATTTTAGCCTACTTGCGAGTAGCAAACCGCTTTAAAAAACAAACATGAAATGTTTTGTTCCAATTCAGGCGATCTAGTCTATACTTATATACTGTGTGCATCACGTAGTAAATCTAGGCTAATAACCGGAATAAGAACGCATAATGTTTTCAAAACTCGATATCATGGTTAGTAGAGGCCAATCTTTGATCGGGCGAGCGGGGGTGCTCACGAAGTGAACTTCCCTAATCGTACCCAAGTTCCCGAGCCGAGGCAACTTTGGTGATGACGGACACGTGGACTTAGGCAAACGAGTCAGGGTTTCCTAAATTTCCCCAAAATAAAACATTTAGGTGGCGACTCTGTATCTGGCAAAGCAGTCCATGTTTGGCACTTCTTTCTAAAAATTTGTTTTCCAAAACGATTTGCCAGATTTGGACTCTTTGATGATTCATCGGTCTTGCATTGCACTCTGCGAGATTAGATACAGGACCGTGACATTGAGTCCTGAACTATAGTGAGCCCATATGAACAAAACCGGGGGGGGGGGGATTTCCTCCCGGGACGTTTGGGGACGTCTACAGCTGCCATGTGGACTTCTTTCTAGGATTGGCTCCAAATGGTAAGCCCAAATACATTAAAGGTAACTTCTTGCTGTGGCAATTTCATTCAACTGCAAAAGCCTTCACCTCACTTTCAGAGATGCTCACTCCACACACTACACTTTTGTGAAAATTTATTTTTAAGTTAGACATCACTTCAAAGCACCTTAAAATCCTTTTGATCAATACCAACTCCTCTCTATCTGCCTTGTAGAAAATGATTGTGTCATCCGCAAATTGCAAGTGTGAGATATTCATGCCATTGGATCCCACCGAGGCTGCTTTAACCAAACCCAACATCTTAACTGTATTTATCAACAAATTTAACCCCATCAGCCACCAGATTAAATAAAAAAGGCGAGAGTGGATCACCCTGCCTTAAACCTCTTTGTTGTGAAAACTCTTCAGTAGGTGACCCATTTACCAAAATTAATATTCTAGATAAGGATAGACATTCCTTAATCCACCCCAACCATTTTTCTCCAAACCCAAAATTAGACATCATTGAGAACAAGAACTCCCAATTCACCGAGTCATATGCCTTCTTGAAATCAAGCTTAAGAATCAACCCTATCTACTTTGTTGATTTCCACCACTCAATGACCTCATTGGCAATCAAAACTCTTTCTAGGATACACCTACCACCAATAAACGCTGTTTAGACCTCACTAACCAGCCTAGACAAAACCTTCTTCATTCTCCGAGATAGAACTTTAGCTAGAATTTTGTAAATAGATCCAACCAAAGTAATTGGCCTATAATCCGTCAAATTACCTGGACCGTCCTTCTTAGGAATCAATGTTATAAATGAACTATTAATCCCTTTAGCTAACTTACCATTGCTGTGGAAGTCATGCATGAACTGGAGAATTTCACCCTTCATCACCTTCCAACACTTTTGAATACAGTAAAGATTGAATCCATCAGGCCTAGGAGCTTTATTCCTGTCACAATCCTTTACAACTGCCCACACTTCTTCCATTGTAAACTCTGCTTCTAACTCCCTCTTCACCTCATCATCCCCAATGGTAGTAAAAGGTCCATCAAGTTTTGGTCTACTTTTCCACACCTCAGAGTACAGCTTTTTAAAATGCCCTGCCACTACTTGTTTCACCCTTTTCGGTTCCCCAATAACTTCCCCGTTCTCAAGAATTGTATCAATTAAATTCTTTCCTTGTCTCCTCTTAACCATTACATGAAAGAATCTCATATTTTTATCCCCATCTTGAGCCCATTTAATTCTAGCCCTTTTTTGGTATCCAAAAGTGACCCATTTTCAGCTTTTAAGTCAATCTCATGAAGCTCCTCCTCAACAGATTTGAGCTGAGGTTCAACATTTCTGAAGACCTCCACATTCCATTTCTTTAATGCCATCTTCAAACTTGCAAACTTGTTCTTTAACCTAAAGCCAGCCCATCCAAAAGTCTCTGCCTCTGACCAAGATTTCTTCGCGAAAGACATAAAATTAGGATGTAAACTCCAGGCATTTAAGAATCGAAAAGGTCTAGGACCCCAATCTCTTTTATCCTCCATCAGCACCAAAGGACAGTGGTCAGAAATATTCCTTGGAAGACCCCACTGCTTAAGACTAAACTTTTCTAACCACAAAGGATCCAACAAAAACCTATCAATTCGACTCCATCTATCACCTTCAAATGAATTACACCATGTAAAGTCCCTCCCTATCAGCGACAAATCTACTAGCTTTATAAGCTCAATAAATTCATTAAATTCAATCATTCCCTTGTCCCTCCTCAAGAAACCCCTTCTTTTATTTAGAAAATGAATTTCATTAAAATTCCCTCTAATACACCAAGGTTTATGAAAAGATGACTTCAGCCTGACCAATAGTTCCCATAATCGACCCCTACTCCTCTCATCGTTAGGAGCATAGATGTTAACAATTACACACTCAAATGATTGTTTAAAAATACCTGATAGAAGTAAAAAATTCCTCGTACTGCAGCACTCTAAAATCTTGAAGACAGTAGGATTCCACACACATAGCAAGCCCCCTGCATTTCCCACCGAATCCACTGCCAAAAACTGTAACGAATGAATAGGCCACATTGACTTCACAAATATTTCATCGACATTGGTTTTCTTCGTTTCTTGTAACATCAACATATCCAACTTTCTATCCCTTACCAGCTTCAAAAATTTTCCCCTCTTATCTTTCCTTCCCAACCCCCTTGCATTCCATGACAAAATCTTCATTGGAAAACTTCACTCTACTCTGAAGACCCCCTTTTCACCTAACTGAAATAGGAGTTTGCCTCAGCCCTCCTCCCATCTTCTCCTTATCATGAATCTCCATTTCCACAATCCGATGCACAACTTCCTCCTCTTTTCCTTTACAATTCATCCCCAACAGCTTACCTAATTGTACTGTATCCCGAGCTTCCTTTAGCAACGCATCTCTTTTACTAGGACCACTCGACGGAGGTAATGATAATGAAGCTGCAAGCGCTACTGCTCTACAGATGGCCCCCCTGGAAAAACAACTTGAACGCAATAGTCCCCTCTTGTGTATCTTGCTCTACATAAACTTCTTTAGTTCAATATCTCTCTGCCCTCTGCTGCCCACATTTCTCTTTCTTGCTAGAACACCTATACTCTTTCTATCATGCGCCAATTGTTTATGATGGACGTTATGCATGGGTGAGGGCTCATCATAGGATTGTACTGACACTAAATTAGAGAATTTTGATAGTAAATTTTCAACCTTTAAATTCAAATGCCCTTTTGGCTCAGGACTTGTAGTTGGTGGCTTTAGTTTTAGAGTCATTACAATTGTTATAGCATCCAATTCATTGCTTTGGACTTTATCCTCTTTGGGAATAATAATTGGAACTTGTTAGGGGTGCTTTTGAATGATGAATAAGGGTTCCAATTCATTGCTTTGGACTTTACACTCTTTGGGAATAATAATCAAAACTTGTTGGGGGTGATTTTGAATCATAAATAAGGGCCTCACCAGCCTTGAAAATCTGATCATCTTCCACCTTGGGCAGATTTTGATCTTGGTCCTCTAATTCTACCTTGGAACACGAAGAATTGTGAGTAAAAACCTTCTTCAACCTTGATGCTGTTTGGGGTGATTTTGACTCATCAATCAAATTCTCTTTATCCTTGATAATTTAAGAGTTCATCACCTTGTCCTGAGTTGGTCGACTCGACTAAGTCGTTGACTAAAATTATCAAGTTATTCCACAAATTTTAAAAGAACTTGATCCATTTAGTTCTCAAAAAATATCCTTGTGACAAAAGATCATATACAATGGTATTTTTTAGCATATATTAAAATTGTTAGATGAGTCATACTTAGGGAAGACAAGGCGTATGATCGTAGTTTAGCGTTGACGCTTTGTGCTAATCGATGATGATTCATACCTATGGTTTGAATGTATAAATATTCTTGATGATGTTATTAGGGCTTGTAGCCACAATACATCATTATCATCATAGTAGTGTTTTTTCATGAAGTGTGAATCAATAAACTCATCATAGTAGTGATTTTTCATTAAGTGTGAATCAATAAACTCTAGTTAGGAGATTGGAGGTGAATTCAATAATCTAAAGATTATTACTTCCATATCTCAATTCAATTTTATATTGCTTTTATTTATTTTTAGTTTTTAATTAATTTAGTTATCACCATATCGACAATCTTTATTGAATTAATTTAGGATTTGATCTTAAAATAATGTACACTTAGTCAATTTGTTCCCGATGAAACGATACCTGATCTTAACCACTATTTTAAGGAGTAGTAGTTTTACTTGATTTTTAATGTTTATTTTTTGATATGAAACCCATCATTCACCCATACTATAAGCTACGCCCACTGCCTCCCTTGGAGTTAATATTTGAATTAATTCATTATACGTCCTTCCTACACAATTGTTTAACTTTCACTGATAAAGTGAATTTTTCTTTTTTCTTTTTTCTTTTTTTTTCTTTTTTTTGCTGATACGAGAAAAAATATGTCCTACACAATTTATGGACTGTTAAACATAAATTAAAGAAAAGAAAAGTAAAAATAAAGAATTTAAGGCTTTTCCATTTTCTTTTTTAAGCGTAATGAGAAGAGGACTTTGGAATCAACGCGGAAAGAACACATCCCAACAAAGTTGGGCTTCCAATTTACCTAAACAATTTTATTTAACAAAAAAATTGAACAGAATGATATAGTTATTTGTGATCCATTCATTTCAAATCAAAATAATCTTCATTGTGACTTCCAATTCAAAAACTTTCAATACCACCTCATTTTGGATGAGCTTTATGGATAAAATTTCTATTTTTAAATCATCTTTCTTTTTTTATTTTATGTTAATTTGATTCAACTAATAATGTCCATTAGTGGGTTTGATAGAAATTGTGCATGAAAGCTGCCGTAACATGTTTTCAAGGGCAAAAATAACAATTTTAAAATTGGTTGATTTCAATTAGCAAGTATCAAACAAACTCTAGTTTTACATAGTGAGCCAAACAAAAGAAAAATGACATTCATCCTTCCATAAACTACTAGACAAATGAATAACTTAAAAGGGATGTGTTGGTGAAAATACCAGAAGATTATATTTTATTAATAAATAATGTAAAGAAAATGAGATACAAATAGATCAGGTTGAGACACAGATATCTCGCTTTTTTTAAGGAGATCAAGCCCACTGCGGCAGGAAGAACCCAAATACCGATGCAGTAGTCATAAAACTATGACTTGTCCCCATCAGGATACAACAGCCTGACCACTTGTCATATGGTTCAGGCCAACTCTGCACAAGATGGTGAACCCAAAACTACCAAGAAAAACACCCTTCTTTGCTAGTAATCTCTCAAGTATAAACAATAGTTGGTGTAGAAAAGAGTAGATGAGAGGAACTATTTATAGGCTATTAGAACCTTACAATTACACCAAAAAATAATAATGACCATTAAATTAGAGAAAAGGGAGAGTCTCCAAATATTAACTCAACACCAAGTCCATGAACTTCCAATTAATCTCCATTCATGAACAAGACAAAAGGTCACAAAAAATAATGAATCTCCATTCACCAAACAAAATGAGATTCTTGAACAAGACAAAAGAAGATTCATGAAGAAAATAAATAAATAAATAAAAGATATTAAAATGGTCCAATAATCCCCCACTCATTTTAATATCAACAAAGGGCAAGAGAGATTACCAACCAATGATAGGCAGTATGCATCATAAAGGTGTGCCCTGCATTGAACCTTCATTAGTGAAACAACAACGTCTACTCCAGAGTCAGTAGTGGTCTCAGACTTGAACTATGACTATTTAGGAGAAATAAAGTATTACTGCTCACACATAATAATCTAGGTGTTGACATGAACTTTTAATAGCCAGCACATTACGACCTTGTGCCTATCCTAGTTTTCATGAGCATATTTGAGAATAAGCCTTGTTCTCATAGAAAGCGGCCCCACTTCCATGCTCACATAGGTGAAATATGTCATCGATGTTCCTGTAATTTACACACCCTACTCAACAAGAGCTACAAAATTTCATTAAGAGTATAAAAACTCAACCCTCTAACATTACAGGACAAATGCACTCACATCATCAAGATGGATAACAAAATATTAAGTAGTGCATTTTTTACAACCACCATATGATTTGTTCTTCCTATTGAACCTAGTTACAGGATCTCTAGAACGTAGGTTGGGTGTCCTTATACATGGTTTACAATGTTATAGGCTTCAAACCCATCGCCTTCGATGTATTCCAGACCCTATCTCTCGCTAAGGCCCTGGTTAATGGATCTCCAAGATTATCACAAGATTTTACATAATTCATAGTTATGATGCCATTACTCAAATAGGATCTCACATTACTGTGTTTCCTTCGAATAGGTCTAGATTTATCATTATAAAAATGGTTGTTCACTCTACCAACAGCAGCAGTGTTATCACAACGAATTAACATGGGAGGAATTAGTTTTTCCCAAAAATAAATTTCATGTAACAAAACTCTAAACCAATTCGCTTCCTCACGTGCTGAAGCAAACGCTATAAGCTCAACTTCTATTGTAGAATTAGGAATTATAGTCTGTTTTTTAGATTTCCAACATATAGCACCACCATCCAATGTAAAAATAAAACCTGAGGTAGAGAGAGAATCACCTAACAAAGTGTTCCAATTGGCATCACTATATCCCTCAAGTACTGCAGGATACTTGGTATATAACAAACCATAATTTTTGGTACCAAATAAATATCTCATAATTCTTCCCATGGCTAGCCAATGATCTCGACTTGGCTTGCTAGTAAACTTGCTAAGTACTCCAACAGCATATATAATGTCAGGTCTAGTACAGTCAGTAGCATATCTCAAACTACCAATCATGCTAGCATATTCCTTTTGATCAATCATTTCTTTTTCATTTGTTACAACAAATAAAAGTATGCTTGCATCAAAAGGAGTAGCAACATGTTTACAGTCTAGAAAGTTATATTTCTTTAAAATTTTCTCAACATAATGTGATTGATCAAGAAAAATGTCATCATTAGTTTTGGTAATTTTAATTTCCAAAATAAAATTGGCTTCACCAAGATCTTTCATATCAAAGTGGCTATTAAGCATAGTTTTAGTGTCATTTATAATATTCAAATTAAAGCCAAAGATACGTAGATCATCCACATATAGGCTAATAATCATATGTGCATTCTCACAAGTTTTATGATATATGCACTTATCACGTTTATTAGTCTTATAGCCATTCTCAAGCATGCAGGAATCAAATTTCTCATGACACTGTTTAGGAACTTGTTTTAAACCATAAAGGGATTTAGTTAGCTTACACACCTTGCTTTCTTGGCCAGGCTCCACAAAACATTCGTGTTGGTCTATGTAAATCTCCTCATCTAGATCTCCATTTAAAAATGTTGTTTTCACATCCATTTGATGAATTTTTAAATCATGAATTGTAGCCACTGCTATCAACAGTCTAATGGATGCAATTCTAGTAACTGGAGAAAAAGTATCAGAGAAATCAAGATCAACTTGTTGCTTAAAACCTTTAGCGACAAGCCTCACTTTATATTTATCTATAGTTCCATCCGATTTAAGTTTTTTACGAAAGACCTATTTACAGCTAATAGTTTTACAACCTGGAGAAAAATCCACTAGCTTCCATGTTTTATTTGAAAGTAGTGAATCTTTCTCATTATTTACAGTCTCTCTCCAA